GTTTCTCTTTCGCAGGCCCATGCTGTCGATTTTCACGCACGTCTACAACTTCCTGTCGTCGTTGTCGACGGAAGATGGGTTCGAATACGAGCTCCCCGTCTCCGTTCGCGACGAGCTGCTAGCCTGCACTTACCTGGCCTTTGTCGCCATTACCGACCTTCGCGCGGGCTACTCCCCCGAAGTGTTCGGCACGGACGCCTCCCTCGGCTGGGGGGGAGTGGTCCGCTCCTCGATCAGTCCACATCTCTCCCAAGAGTTGTGGCGCCGGTCTGAGCACGGAGGGTGGCACACGGTCCTCCACAACCGAAGTTTGCTTGCCGTGCTGGACCGGGGAGTCCCATTAGGCCCCGAGCTCACCCAGCTGCATCGCGATTTGGGGCTCCCTTCCATTGAGCCCCCAGTCGCGCCGCACTGGATAAGCGAACTGTCGGAAGCGCTGCACTTCCGCCTGGCCTATAAATGGGAATTTCGAATGCCGCGTCACATCAACATCCTGGAGGCCACTGTTTTCAAGAGTCTGTGCAAGTACTGCTGCGTTCGCATGCCGGACTCTCGGATCCCTGTGCTGCTCGATTCTAAGGTCGCCTTGGGCGCGGCCGCCCACGGTCGCAGCAGCTCTCCAGGGCTTTCCCATGTCCTCAGCACGGCTTTGCCTTACATCTTGAGCGGTGGCTTATACATGGGTGGCCTCTATGTGCCCACCGACGTCCACAGGGCGGATGACCCCACCAGGAATCGGCCTGTGCGCCCCCCCTCCAGGGAGGCTCCTGCGTGGCTGGTCGACGCTGAGGCGGGCGATTTCGGTAGGTTCGATTGGGTCGCACTTGCTGACGCGCATTCTCCCTACCCCACTTGCCTATGGGGACGGCTCGCCGCGCTAGTCCTAGCACAGGGGCTCCTTGCGCGGGGGAATGCCCGGGCCGCCCATGGTCTGGCGGCACGTCCCCCTCTCTCGCCCGCCCCCGCGGCCGACGCATGGTTTGCAAGCGCGGCCGCCGCAACTGGGGTCGAGGCGCCGGTTTTTCTCGAAGCTCCCGGCACGCTTCCGCAGCCCGACCCAGCGCAAGCCGAGGCTCCAGAGATTCCTAGGCGGAACGCCTCTCCCGCGGTGGGCGGCGGATGCCTCGGGGGAAGGAGCGCCGAAGGTGCCGCTGAGCTCTCCGCGCTTCCCCATGAAGCCTCCCAGGGCGCGTCGCCTTTCGAAGCGCCCTTCAGGCCGGGTGCGGCCCCCGTTGCCGCTGGCCCGCCCGGCGCGCCCGCCCAGCTTTCGGCGGCCAGGCCGAGGCTCGCCGCCCGGACCGATCCCAAGCGACCCGCCAAGGTTGCAAAGGTGCGGACGGCGCGCGAGCTCCTTCAGCTCAAACCGGGTGCCGACCGGTCGGCCATGGAACGCCAGTTCCGGCGGTTGGCCACGCCGCGCCGCCCGGACAGGGCGCGCCATCGCCCATTGTCCGCATCGGACCGCGCGGACGCCTCTCCCCTCTGGTCCAGGTTCTGCGACGCGAAGTCGCTCCTGCTTGGCGAGGCTTCTCGTTGCCAGCCGGGAGCGGGAACCCTACCTTGCCAGGAACGGGAGCACGGGACTTGCCGCGGAGGCGTTCGTGCGGGCCCGCGCCTATATGCAAGAGCGCGGCCGTGGCCAGACGGGCGCGCCGCCGGCGCCTGCCAGTGCTTGCAGCCCGAGCTGGGCGGAGCACGGCCGGATTTCGGGGCCTCCGCCTCTGGGACTCCCTCGGCGCCCTGCTCTTCGCGCGGAAGGCGCCATCGGCCAGCTCGTCCAGCGGAAACGGTTCGCGCTGAGCGCCCCCGTCGTGCGCGCGCTGCTCGTGCGCCCGCGGCGCTGCTCTCGGCGCCTGGCGCGGCCGCGCCGCCCCCGGGTCGTAGGGCCAGGCGCACTGCCAATTTCGCGCTGTGGGGCCAGCCTTGCGCGCGCCATCGCGCCGCCGCGTCGGCGGACGAGGGGCGTGAGCCTTTGCCTTCGCGCTCCTGGAGCCCGGGCCTTGGAGCAGGCGCGCCCGGTGCCCCCTCCAGCAGCGCCCGGCTCGGCAGCACCTCGAAGTGGCGCGACGCGCCGCTTGCGCCGGGGGACGGCGCCCGCGTTCCGCATACTTTTTCCGACCGCGCCCCGCGACGCCAGTCGGACTCGCAGGACGCGCCGCCAGTGGCGTCGCCGCGGGGCTCTCGCCGCGCACCGCCGCCGCGGGGCGCTCGCGCGAGCACCCGCTCGGCTGGCCCAGCCGCCCGCTTCGCGGCCGCTCCGCCGCCGCGCGGCTCCGGCAGCGACCCCGCTTGCGACCTCGCTTCCGGAGCTCGCGACCCGCCCACGGTCACCGGCTCGGCGAGCTCCGGGAGCTTGCCGGTTGGCGCATTCTCGGCGCGGGGCGCCAGGATCAGCATGGGCCCTCCTGCTCGCGCCGCCAGTGCGCCACCAGCATTACGCGTCGACGGTGCACCCATGCGGGTTCCTGCGGATCGATTGCGGCCGAACGCGCTTGCGCGCATACCCGCGGCCTCGGGGCCCGCCGCCGCCTCCTTCGCCATGCTTGAGGCCGCGCCCCGTGCCGGGGCCAGTCCGAGGTCTCTTGGCCCCGCGGCCGCGCCTCGCGCCGCACTTCTGTCGGTGGACTCGCCCGTTGATAGCGCGGATCTCCCCCAACCTAGCGGAGCCGCGCACGAGAAGGGCTCAGACGCGTTGGCGGCTGCGCCACACCTTCTCGACTCCTTGGAGCCCTCTGCGCGCGCGGCTCGAGGCCTGCCCCAAGACGGGGCGTGCGCTACCTCGGTTGCGATGCGCACCAGCCGAGTCGCTGGCCCAGCGGCCGCGGTTGCGCGGCGCGCGCGTGCCGACCGGCGCGCTCGCGCGCGATTCCTATCCTCGGTCGCCGCTGCCGAGGCCGCTCTCACCGAGGTTATGCTGGGAACAGGCGAAGAGACTGGCGAGAGCGCGGGAGAGCTGGCGAAGCGAATGCAGACGCTCTTAGCCGAGCTCGAGCGGCGCAAGGATGCGATGCGCATCGCCCGCTCTCGTCTTGCTGATTGCGTCAGAGAGGCCGCCTCCGCTGGATTCCCTGAGGCGGCGGCGTACTCGCCCTCGCCTGTGGCAGCGCCAACTGCCCTCGCGGAGGTGGACAGCGCCGCCGAGGCGGAGGCCAGGGTTGGTACGGGCTTGCACAGCGAGGCTGAGCCGGCGCGGCATCGCGACGAGAGTGCCACCCTTGCCTGGCCTCGGCGAGTCCCCCACCCCGCGCGCCGCCGCCGCCGCAGGGCGGCAGAGACGGAGCCTCCCAGCGCTCCCTGGTCAGGCGCTGTTCTGACTTCGGCCGGCGATCGGCGCAAAAGAGCTCTCTACGCGTTCGAATTGTGGTGCGCCGAGGACGCAGGGGTGGCGCCACTTCCGCTGTATCGTAGTGGGATCCTGCTGTCGAGGTTCCTCGCAACGTTCGGCGTGTGGCTGCACGACGCAGGTTTCCCGCTCAACATCCTGGTGCACGCGATCATAGGCGTCCAGGCACGTCTCCCTCATTGGAAGCCCTTTCTCACCGAGGCGTGGGGAGTGGCGAGGGCCTGGAAGCGGTCTCAGCCACCTCGCCTTCGGCCGCCAATGCCACGAGCGCTCTTGCGCGCTATGGTGGCAGTTTGTTTCACTTGGGACTGGCCAGTCATGGCCGCCTTGCTGCTGGCAGGGTTCACGATGTCCTTGAAGCCCGACGAGCTGCTGTCAGCCCGTCGCTGTGACCTTTTGTTGCCTTCGGATTGCCTTGAGTCCTCAGGCAACGCTTGGATGACCATTCCCGATCCAGTGAGCAGCATGTCTTACCCGCCACAGCACGCCTGGTGCTCTGACAAAGCGGTGGTTCGGGTTTTGGAGATGGTCTTTCGGCATTTGGGTCCCACCGATCCTCTGTCGACCTTTGGTCAAAGCGGCTTCCGTACTCGGTGGAACCATTTACTTTTGGCGTTAGGCGTACCGCTCGCCGAGACGCCAGCGGGGTTCCACTTGACCCCTGCTTGCCCCCGCGGCTCAGGCGCGACAGACTTTCATACGGCCACAGAAGATATTGGTCGTATCTTCTGGCGTAGTCGCTGGCGCCAGGCGTCTAGCGCGGAGCGCTTCTTGCACGACGATGCTTCCGCCGCGATGCTTTCCGCCTTGCCTGATGCCGCTCGGGCCCGTGTCACCTACTTCGATGGCGCGAGCGACTTCCTTGTCGCTTCCTTTCTGAACTGTGGCCCCACTGCGTGGCCCCTTCTGCTCGCGGCCGCCCGCCAAAACCTTGTCACTTCGCAAGGGCTTTGAGCCTGGGTATGGCTGCTACGGCCACCTGGCCGTCCAGATGGCCTCGTTGGACGAGGTCGTCTGAGGGCGCCGCACGGCTTGGGCGCGGCGCCCCGTCATCCTTTACGGGTCGCCGCGCGCGCGCCGCGCGCCCGCCTCCGGGACCTGATCGCTTGCGCTGCGTGCGGGAGAATGCGCTTCTCTATTCTCCTTGCCGCTCGCGCCCGTTCAGGTCCTGCAGCTTCTCGGCCCCCTCCCCCCCTCCCCGCCTTACTCAGGCAGGCCTGCGGCGCTGCTACGGCCACCTGGCCGTCCAGATGGCCTCGTTGGACGAGGTCGTCTGAGGGCGCCGCACGGCTTGGGCGCGGCGCCCCGTCATCCTTTACGGGTCGCCGCGCGCGCGCCGCGCGCCCGCCTCCGGGACCTGATCGCTTGCGCTGCGTGCGGGAGAATGTTGATGACGATGACGATGATGATGATGATGATGATGATGACGATGATGACGATGATGATGATGACGATGATGACGACGATGATGATGATGATGATGATCATGATGATGACGATGATGATGATGATGATGATGATGATAGGAGGAGGAGGAGGAGGAGGAGGAGGAGGGAGAGGAGGGGGAGGGGGAGGGGGAGGGGGGAGGAGGAGGAGGAGGAGGAGGAGGAGGAGTCGAACCAAACCTGCTCAATGAGTACCAGACTCCCGAAGCAAGGAGCCGCTCCGTCGGCCGCTTCAACCGCGTCGTCTCCGTGTCGTTCGGCATCGCCGTGGTGCTCTGCGTCACGGCCTTAGTTGACCCTGGAAATGACAGGGCCGTTTTTTACCAGTTCCGTTTTGTCGTTTTTGTTGTTGGTTCCAACGCCGTTGTTTGATCGGTTCCGTCGCCACTGTTTACCGGTTCCAGCTCTGGTTCCAGTCCTGGAGCCGTTCTTTTTGCCGTTTCCAGTCGCCGTTGTTTTGCCGGTTCCATTTTCAAGAGACATGTTTTTCGGAAACGGTGAAAAAACGGCCTTGCCGTTTCCAGGGCCCACTTAGGTCACGGCCATGAGCGCGGGGTTCCTCACGTTCGGCGCCCAGACCAGAGGCAACGTCCTCAACAATTACTCCACGTCGGATCCCTTGGCCACCATTGCCCGGCTCAGCGTGGCCTGCTCGGTGGTGTGCACCTACCCGCTGGCTTTCACTGGTCTGCGAGACGGAGTCATGTCCCTCTTAGAGGTAGGCGGGGTGGGTGTGGGGGGGGGCTTTTGGCCAGTCAATCGGTGGCATGTTCGGTCATGGGCCCGAAAGTTGTAAAGCGCAACTGTCCAATGTTCGGTTTGCGTGCCCCAGGAGACCGACACGGACCGCGAATGGGCGATGGAAAATAAGGAGGCCATGTCCAAATGATACAGGACAACGGCCAGCCAGCACCGCACATCTCCACACGGGCATATGCGTTCTAGTGTGCCCTTTAAGCGAGTCTGGGTCTTAGCGGGTCTGAGTACGAGCGAACTTGTTCGAGTGAGTCTGCGTAATTATGTGCGTGGATGAGTCTGAGTTTGATCGGTTGATTTTGAGTCGGTTCGGCTACGAGTCGGTCCGAGTAGTAGTGGCTCTGAGTACGAGTGAGACTCGACATGAGAGGGTCTTAACACGAGTGGCTGAATTTGAATTGGTCTTGGCCGAAGTAAGTTGAATATGAACGATTGGGTATGAGTGGGTCTGAGTGTGATGGGGTCCGGATGCAAGCGAGTCCGAACATCAGTGAGTATGCGTGCGGGTGAGTTTGAGTATGAGTGAGTCTGAGTATGAGTGATGGGCTGTGGGTAAGTCCGAATGTGCGGGATGATTAGTGCGAGTATGGCCGAGTATGAGTAGTTCAGTATGGGTGGTATAGACTCAGAGAGTCTTTGGGAACGAGTCTGTCTGAATGTGAGCGCGTCTCAGCATGAACTTCCGAGTCTGAGTGCGTATGAGTGTGTCTGACTCCGAGTGGGTCTGAGCACGAGCTGATGGCATCCCGAGGCCTCCCGTCGCTTCTTGTGGCATCCAGGGGGACGAACACCTAACACCCCCCCCAAACGTCTGGCCTTCTGCCCGAGATGCCCTACCGATGCTGGCGCCCACAGGCCGTGCTACTATGCCTGGTGGACGTCCAAAGTTCGAGGGTTCGGGTGCGATGCCTGCCGGAGGAGGAGGAGGAGGAGGAGGAGGAGGAGGAGGAGGAGGAGGACGAGGACGACGAGCAGGAGGAGGATGCCCACTTCCAGAGTTCGGGTGCGATGCCTGCCGCATCTCGGGAAGCCGGATCTCTGAGAAGAAGCGCCCCCGCTCCCCCAGAGCGTGGGCGTTTTGTTTTGAGAGAGTCGGGCAGTCTGGGTGTCAACGGGCTTGTGGAGGCCCTTTCCGATTGGTTTCCCATTGGTATTCTCATGGCATTTCAGCGTTCATTTCACTGTAAGGTAAGTCGTGTCCCTCTACAGGAGGAATATTCAAACATTGTTCCAAACAGTCTTTGGACGATTTTTCAATTATTTGTTGAATCTGCTTATGTTTTTGAGTATGTTTAATTTTTGGTTCAAAATCCGCATGTAGGAGGACATGCCCGACTTAACTGTAAGGCTCTCGATGGCTCTTCCCGTAGACGAGCGGCGACCGTCGCGTTTCAATGTGCCAGCGATATCGCCGGAGGGGGTAGCACCGAAGACAACCGTGCTGTTCCCACCCCCGGCCACAGTGGGGGTGCGGTAGTCTGGCCGAGTGGGTGCCGCGACGGGGGGTGACTCAAAGCTCAGATTCAAGACTCAATGCTCCAGTTCTGGGTACCGCATATTAGAGCCGCAACCACCGCCAAGTGGACCATGGACCATGCGGGATGGACCCCCGAGGGAGAGCCCCAGCGCTTCCGACAGACGTCTCCCAGCGGAGGCCGGCCAGCCTGCCGGTGTGTGCCAATCCGGCCTCTCCCGTTTTGGCTGCCGGTGTCCGCCGCTCCGATGCACCTCGATCGCCGATGCGGCTTGTCGTTCCGATTCTGGGCGCTCCGGGGGAGGGAGGTGCTCGTCTATAGGCCTCCCAGATGGGGTCGGTGTAGATGGGGTCGGAGGATCGCGCCGCATCGCCGATGCGGCTCCATGCCGGGCCCGATGTTTCCCCACGCCGCCGTCGCCGATCCATCGCGGACGTCGCCGAGGCTTCGGCGAGATGCATCGACGATGCGGCGCGCTCCGCCGACCCCATCTGGAGGGCCTCTGGAGGCGCTGCGCCGCCGGGGGGGCAGTGCTTGGGGGCTTCGGCTTCGAGGCTGGAGCTATGATTAGGGGAACTAAGAGTGGCATAGTATAGACATAACAACTCGGAGCTCCGTTCGGATTTTTCGGATCGGCGCTAGGGCCTCCCGGCGGCGCCTCTGGCGCCGCCCCTGGCGCGCTCCGCTCGCCAGGGAGGGGGGTCCAGCGCCGATCCGAGAAGTCCGCGCGGAGCTCCGAGTTTTATATGTTTATGCCACTTCTTGTTCCCCTAATGATGTTCCAACCGTTGGTTCCAGCCAACTTCAGCCCTGACCACTGGAACACTATTTGTTCCCTTGATGACGTTCCAACCGCTGGTTCCAGCCAACTTCCGCCCGGACCACCGGGAGGAGCTCCCGAGCACCACGAGAGGGCCGCGGCCGGGTCGCTCCTGGCGCTCCGGGCCCGGGGGGCGACTCTCGCTCGACCTTGTCTCTGCCATGCTTTCCAGGGTGCTCGAGCTTTTTCGGGTATGGCGGTATGGCCAGGACCCCGTGTAGAAGGGGACCCAGTTGGTGGTAGGACCCTGGAGCCCCCGAAGTGGCCAGAGTCACTGGACCAGGTCTGCCGCAGATGGTGTTTTTTTTTCGGGCGACAGCAGCTCCGTTTGGTGGAACGGGCGGGGGGGACGCCCCCCAACACACATCACTGAACCAGGTCCCACGAAACCCAGCTCTGCCAACGCCCGACTTTTTGTCCTGGGAGGTGGTCCTGAAGTACAGTGCCGTTTTTTATACATGCTCCGCGTGCGGATCATGTATCAAACATGCAGGGCTGAGTATTGAAAACAGCGTTGAGCTCATGCATAAATTTACCCATAAATCAATCGTGTATCACAACTCCTATGTTTGAAACATCCTATGTCTTAAAAACTGCCCTCCTACGATGGGAACCACAGACGGCTGGAGGCCTCCGGGCGCCCGCGGCGGCCCTCGGCGCGGCGCTCCCCGCCTCGGCGAACGGGTCGGGCCGGACGAAAGGGGGGGGGACAGGGAAAGGGGGGGCACGAAATTTGCGGCATGCGGCTGGTTTCGGTACAACGACGCGAAGATCGGGACAACATCGGATCGGGGTAACTCGAAATCTCTGAGAATCGGCGGGTTTGGAGGATGTATTGGGCGCCGCGGCCGCTCCACAGCGTTCCGGAACGCTCTGAGAGCGCTCCGGAACGCTCTGGAGCGATTCATCCCGATCCTAGCCCTGTTTTATTCGGCCCCACCGAGGGGCCCATTCCTCGATAACATATGGCCGCCTCCGGCGCCGGGAGAATCAGCTACGTGAGCTGACTCTCACCCCCCCCCTTTGCTATCCTCGGGGGTGGACAGAACCCCCAACAGTGACACGTCGATTAGTGAATTGTCCGTTTTCGGTTTTCGAGAGGGCGCCGTGGCCGTCATTTTCCAGGCTTGCGCCCGCCAGGTTTGGGCCCGAAGGTGTTTTCACTAAACCACGTTTTACTAAAGGGAGGTCTGTCCATCCCCGAGCTATCCCCCCCTTTCGCCCGGCCCGAGGGGAGGCGAGGCGCCCGCGGGCCGCGCGCCCGCGGGCCCCCGGGGCCTCTCCTCTCCGGGGAGCGCCCGCGTGCCGTCCCCCGAGCGGCCCCCCGGGCGTCGTCGTCGTCGTCGTCGTCGTCGTCGTCGTCGTCGTCGTCGTCGTCGTCGTCGTCGGTGAGAGCAGTCGGGCGCCCTCTCCCCAGAACCTCCCCAGGCGGCAGGACACTGCGTCTGCCGCTCTTGGGCCCGAGCTGTGCATGTGCCAGGCGGCGAGGGTCGAGTCGGGCACGTCCCTCGACAGCAATCAGGAGGGGAACCACACACACACAGAGAGACACCATTCATCGTCGACTCCCAGGAAAGTGTGGGAAATCATGGGGAGTGGGGGGGGAGGCGGAGGCCCAGACAATGTGGGAGAAGATGGGGGATCTTTTTATTCGTGTGTACTTATATTTGTGCGTCCTGGGGCCCCTTCAGAGATGTGTGCCAGGCGACGAGGATCAAGTCGGGCATGTCCCTCGACGGCAAGGATGCTCAAACATAGCCCAATGTAGTCGGGGGAGGATGCTTCTAGTTTGTTGCTTTTGAGCTTTCGGCTTCGAAGCATGTGTTGCGTACGGCCTACTTTCCGTCAGACGTCCGCCTGTAGGGGGACGTGCCCGACCTGAGTCGAGGATCGCTGAGGGGGCCCAGTGATGTCGGGCGGCTCGCGCGAGGGGTCGGCCGTGGCGGGCGCGGCCCGGGGCGGCGCGGAGCCGCGTCGAGGAGCGCACGTGCCCAGCAGGCCGCGCCGGCTGGACGGGCACGGCTGCCGTGCCGGCCGGCGCACGGGAGGGGTGCCGCGCGGCGGTGCTGCCAGACGCGTCACGCTGCCCTGTCATCACTTGGACGTGTTCATTTTTTCTTCGGCGAGAACCATCGAGGACCATCCTCGACCCACGAGCAGCAAAAAGCACGCACGAAACCGACAGATGCACGGGGAATGGACGTCCGAGCGACGGCGAGTTGCCTGCATTGCTCACGCGTGCAGGTGCGCGGCTGCTCATACAGACCGCTGCCCCCCCCCGGCGGCGGTAAGCAGAGGTCTCCGCCTGGGCAGGTCGGCGACGCTGCGCCCTCGCCCCAGCACCTCGGTACAGGTTTGGGCCGTCGAGCGTCTTTCTCTAGGGAAACAAAATAAGTGACATAAACATAAACAACTCGGAGGTCCGCGCGGATTTCTCGGATCGGCGCTGGGGCCCCCCGGCGGCGCCTCTGGCGCCGCCCCTGGCGCGCTGAGCGCGCCAGGGAGGGGGGTCCAGCGCCGATCCGAGAAATCCGCGTGGACCTCCGAGTTTTTATGTTTATGTCACATTTTGTTCCCCTATTCTCTCCCCCCCTTGATCCTGCTCATCCCCCTCCCTGCTCCTCCCCCACCCGATGGGCTCTCGCGAGGTGACGTCAAGCAGGCGCAACCACTTGCTGACTACTCTGATACTTCTATCCCGAGGCTCCAAGCCACTGCCGCCGTCCAGGAGGGGGGAGCGCAGGATATCTGTATTTTGCCAGTGGCTTTCGGTCCGTATCCAGACCTCTGACCACTCGAAACAAACAATATCGGCCAAACGTAGTTGCGGTTTTCGGCCTCCAGGGTCTGTTGCCAGCCTTGGGACCATCAATCGAACAGTTCAGAATGAAAAGCTGGTCCTGGCGAAGGAGTCGAGAATTCCACGTGGCAGCGACTTTTTTTATATATATATATATATAGATGTGTGCATGCATATAGGTATATCTATGTGTATATGTATATAAATGCACGTAACTACTCACGAGGCGGGGGGGGGGGCTCGGGAGGGCCCCCAACACTCCATGGGAGGACCAGGCCGGGCCGGCCGCCAGGGACACCCCCAGACGGCCCAAAACATCCCCCACGCAGATGAAAAGGGCCGCGAGAAGCCTCCAAGGGGCCTAAAGTCGCGGAAAGATCGTTCTAACACACCAAAAATGGCCTCCGGATGGCCCAGGAGGCTTCCAACACGGCCCAAGGGGCCCCCAAGATCATTCCCGAAAGGGCCCCAAGATCTATACATGTACATACATATATATATATATATATATATATATATATTCACACATATATATGTATAACACATGTATGGGTATATATATATATATATATATATATATGTATATATACACCTATATATATACACATATACAGATATTCGTCGAAGATCCGTGCACCTTATGGTTCTCACTCCTTTGCCTCAGTACACGTCTAAGGGATGAGTGTTGTCACGAAGGCGGCCAGAAGGGCTTACCTGGAACATTCATCCGAAGCAAACTGCTTAAACATAAGCTTTCGAGGTTCCGTGCGGTTTTGCCAGATCTGTGTTGGCCTTCCCGGGCGCTCCGCGCGCCAGGAAGTAGGATGGGTGTCCAACGCCGATCCAAGAAACTTGTTCGGACTTCCGAAGGTTTCGATTTGTACACTTTTTTTCCCTCTCCAAGGAAAACCATGTATGGGCTAACACTGGCTCGTGCAGAATGCACCGTATGCCGTCGTTTTTTTTCCCTGCGGCGAGATCGCATTCCCATTCAGTTCTGCCAGGGGCTGCCATTTTGATATCGAGTCCGTCTGAGGGTTCCAGGGTCGCATGATGTTTTCGACCAGTGCTTACCGCCGTGCCCGCACGCCTGTCTTGCGCTTACAGTCGGGACCCTGAAGAAGGAACCCTTTTCGTTGGGGAGGGGCTCCGCGTTCCTTCAGTGTTTCGCAGCGTGCCTTAGGCTTTCCTCATGATTTCGACAGGAAATCGAAGGTTAACTTGTGGAAAAAAGGGACCTCGTTCCTTATGTTGGGTTCCTTGGGTCAAGGCCCCGACTGTATGTTTTCGACCAGTGCTTATCGCCGTGCCCGCACGTCTGTCTTGCGCTGATGGTCGGTAACCTGTGCGCCGTAGCTTGGGCAGACTGGCACAGGCTGAACTCACCCTTCGCATCGCTCGGACGTGTGCGTTTTTCCTTCGGCGAGGACCATCGAGGAGCATCCTTGATCATCTGGTGAAAAAACCACGCACGAACCCCCCAAAAAGCACAGGGAATGGACGTCCGAGCGATGGCCAGCACCCTCGGAGCTTCTGTGGCGGCACCCGTCGGGGTTCTGCGGATCGGCCATCACCGTCTCCGCGCTGGTGCTCAAGAACGTCCCCAGGGGGCGGGGGGCGGGCAGTCGCCACGACTGGGGGAGCTGTGGTGCTTACCCCCCTGGGGGGACCGACCCATCGATTTCGACACCCCTCTCTCGGGGGAGCGTAAGACCCGGGTTTGCCAGGACTCGGGTTCGCCATCGTTTTTTGACGACCGCGACTCGGATTTTGACGTGCAGGAGTTTCGTGGGATGTCTGCAGCGGGAGGCCTCGCCAAAATGCAGGCTCGGCCTCGTAATTTTCTTGACGACCTCGTCGGGAATTTCCGAGTCCCCTGTACCCGGGTCTTACGCCCCCCTGACTCTCAAGAGATCGTCGATGCGATGGGTTCCCCCAGGGGGGTAAGGACCACAGCTCCCCCAGTTATGGCTGGTCGGCTGGGGCGGGCAGTCGCCGCCCGCTGCTGGCACATGCGAGCGTCGGCGGGAGCTTCCCTCGGCGCGTACTCGTCGTACGTGTCTTCGGCGTGCGGCCAGCGTGCCGCGCGAGAGAGGACGTGCCGAGCGAGAGAAGTCGCACCAGAAGTCATAATCAGAGACATGATCGCGTCGTGAAACAATCAGGACGGACAGTTTTTGGCCATTTTCGGCCTCGGGGGACCCTCGGCGGACCTCGGGAACGTCAAAAAACGAATCAGGATGGAAAACCAGTCCCGGGGAACGGGTCGGGACTTCCGGGACCCCGTCCTGATGGTGAGCCGTCCTGCGCACGTGGTCACTCGCGCGCGCAGCTGCTCTGTGCAGCTGTGCCACGGCCTGCGCACGGGAAGAGACGGGCAGGACGGACGACGTCGGCAGCAAATCGTGAAAGCCTCGTGTACGCTCTTGATTCCGTCTTTAGCGTCGCTTAGCGTCAAATCGCATTTGGGAGTCGATCGGATAGCGCCGATTTAGCGTCGATGAGCGTCGATTTAGCGCCGATTAGCGTCGATTTTGCGCCGATGAGCGTCGACTGCAGTCGATTAGAGTCGATTCGCAAGAGCCGATAAGTTAGAACGGGAGGCTCCCGTGAGTTGCCACCAAAGACGACACGGTGGGTAGGTGTGGTGTGCGACATAGTGAAGTTGCCCGCCAGTCTGGATACAGTCGGGGGGAACCCTTTTCGTTGGGGAGGGGCTCGGTGTTCCTTGATTGCTCTGCAGTTTGCCTTTTGTTTCCTTGAGGTTTTCCATGGCAAATCGAAGTTCAACTTATGGGAGAAAGGGGCCCCGTTCCTTATTTAGGGTTCCTTGGGTCAGCGCCCCGACTGTAGAGTTCGAACCGTCATCTAGGTCTGAGTCCAAGAGCTGGCCGGGCGGGGGGGGGTGCAGGCCAGGCGGTTCTGGGATCGTCGATCCGAGATTGGATGTCGATTCTGGCTGGCCCGATCCGGTGTTGCTTCGGACAGTCGCCAGAGAGTGTTTTTGTGGGCCTCGGGGTCATAACGCGAGTTATGCCCCCTCCCCTCCCCCACTTCCCCCCCATACAGTCGGGGCGCTGAAGAAGGAACCCTTTTCGTTGGGGATGGGCTCCGTGTTCCTTGATTGTTTCACAGCTTGCCCTAGGTTTTCCTCAGGTTTTCGATGGGAAATCGAACCTTAACTTATGGAAACAAGGGCCTCGTTCCTTATTTAGGGTTCCTTAGGTCAAGGCCCCGACTGTAACGCGAGTTATGCCCCCTCCCCTCCCCCACTTCCCCCCCACAATATAACTCTCCCCCCCTCAGTGCGTCCCGCGCGCTGCCGCAGTGCGTCAGGCACCACAGTCTGGGGGGGGGGGGCGTTACGTTGTGCCTCCGGTCCCCGCGGATTAAGGAGTGCGCTCGAAGAGCGTTTTCTCTGTGCGTGTGCACTGGCAATGGGAGGGGTGCTCCCCCCCCGCGCAAGGAGGAGGGTTTTCCATGAGCACAACCACTCCGTGCCAAAGGGAAGGAGGGGGGCGTGGCCAGGAGTGAGGCTAACAAGACGACGACGACGACGATGACGCCGACTCCGACCACGGACGACGGACGACGCTCAGCGACGACGACGAAGACGAAGACGACGACGGATGACGGACGACGAACGACGAACGACGAACGATGAATGACGAACGAGGAACAACGACGACGACAAGGAACGACTGACGACGGTCAACGACGACGTCGACGACAACGACGGACGACGACGACGACGACGACAACGACGGACGGTGGACGACGACGACGACGACGACTATGACAACGGACGGCCGACGACGGAAGGCGGACGACGGAGGACGGACAACGGACGACGACGATGACCGAGACCACGGCAACGACCACCACCACCACGACGACGACGACGACGACGACGACGGACAACGACGACCACGACGACGACAACGACGACGACGAATACGACGACGACAGCGACGACGACGGCGGCGGCTTTCTGTCCCGTCCGACCCGACACGCCCCATAGGGTCCGTCTGCTCGACCCGGCCCGCCCTTGAGGCTTCTTGCGTGCTAGCCAGATTAGGCAGCATACTTTACTGTCCCGCCGGCCCGAGCCGACCCGCCAGCTAGGGCTCGTGCGTGCCAGTCCCACTGTGCATCATACTTCCATGCCACGCTCGCCGGGCCCGACCCGCCGCTGGGGTCCGCCCGCCCGACCCGACCCGCCAGTTAGGGCTCTTACGTGCCAGCTCTTTGATGCATCATACATAAATGTTCCGACCGACCGACCCTCCCATTGGTGCCCGCCTGACGACCCGCCCGACCGCGTCGTCGTCGCCTTCGTCATCGGTCGTCGCCGCCGCCGTCCGTCCTCGGCGTCGGCGTCGGCGTTGTCTTCGCCGTCGACGTCGCCGTCGTGGCCGTCGTCGCCGTCGTCGTCGTAGTCGTCGTCGTCGTCGTCGCCTTCGTCCTTGTCTTCGTCGTCATCGGTTGCCCCCGTCCTCGTCGCTGTCGTCGTGTCGTCCTTCGTCCGTCGTCGTTGTCGTTGTTCTCGTCGTCGTCCAACGTCGTCGTTCGTCGTCGTCTTCGTCGTTCGTCGTCGTCGTCGTCCGTCCTTGTTGTTTTTCTTTCGTTTGTGTGCCTTGGTCATCTTCGTCGTCGTCGTCTGCAGTCCTTCGTCCGTCGTCGATGTCTTCGTCGTCGTCGTTCGTCCTCCGTCTTCCGTCCGTCGTCGTGTCGTCGTTCGTTTTCCGTCGTTGATTGACCTTCGTTCTTTGTCACTTCGTTATCGTCGTCCGTTGTCCGTTGTTTGCCGTCGTCGTTGTTCGTCCGTCGCGTTGTCCGTTGTCGTTGTTGTCGTCGTCGGTCTTCGCCGTCGTCGTTGCCCGTCGTTTGTGTTCCGTCGTCCGCTGTCGTCGTCGTCGTCGTCGTCGTCCGTTCTCCGTCGCCAGTCCTCCATCGTCGTCGCCCTCGTCGCCCTCGTCTTCGTCCACGGCCAGGGTCTTCGTCGTCCGTCGTCGTCGTCCGTCGCCGTCTTCCGTAGTTTGTCGTCCGTCGTTCGTCGTCGTTCGTCGTCGTCGCCGTCGTCGTCGTCGTCGTCGTCTTCGGGCGCCGGTGCTCGCCGTCGGTGTTTGCCAGCAGCGAGAAGGGGGGGTTTGGACGGGGCTGGGACGAGAATGAATATGTTCCCGAGGGTCCTGAACGCTGCGAGCTGTCCTCGGAGGGCACCGACTATACACCAACACCGATCCTGGCCCAGGATCACCCTGGGCCCAGGATCGGTGTATATGCCTTCTTGCGCAAGGCAGGAGGGCGTATACACCGATCCTGGGCCCAGGGTGATCCTGGCCAGGATCGGTGTTGGTGTATAGTTGGTGCCTTCCTATGTCCGGAAGGCTCTGAGAAGGCCGCGGCGCCTGAGACATCCTCCACAGCCGCCGGAGCCCAGAGGTTCTCGATCCATTCTCACCCGAAGTTGTCCTCGTCTTGGCGTCGTCTCAGGGGAGTCAGAGAAACGCTCCCTGGAAGGGCGAATGGGGGGTTCAAAATCCCCACCTTGCTCTGGGGGCGGGGGGTACGTCAGCACTCCAGGTTCCCGGAGCGGGGGGGGCGGGTAAGGGGGTGGGGCCGGTTCAGTGGTGGTCCAAGGGGGGGACTATTCGGGGGGATCGGTTTTTGGGACACCTCTGAGATATAGGTTTCAGGCTAGTGGTCGTGGAAGTCGTTCTATCGGATATTCTGACGATCTATTGTTCCCCGAAGTTTGCGTGGCGTTGTTGTGCATCCTTGCGCAGCAAAGTCGATCCGATTCTGACTCCGAGCCGATGCAGTCGGATCCGACTTACGTTCCGATTCGATCCGATTTCCCGATTCAGTGTTAACTGGTCCTGACCACTGCGCGCCGTCGTCGACGTCCGAGGAGGGGGGAGGGCCAGCATTGCCTAACCAATCTACATCCCCACTGGGCCGTGGTACAGTCGGGGCCCTGAAGAAGGAACCCTTTTCGTTGGGGAGGGGCTCTTTGTTCCTTAATTGTTTCGCAGCTTGCCTTGGATTTTCCTTAGGTTTTCGATTTGAAATCGAAGTTCAACTTATGGAATATAGGGGCCTCGTTCCGTATTTAGGGTTCCTTAGGTCAACGCCTCGATTGTATCTCAACCGCACCAGCCCCCGCCCTGCTCGATGGGGACAGGCCCGAGGGAAAGCCGGAGGGGCAGGCGTGCGTCCCCGTGTGGGTACGTCGGCCAGGGGGGGCCAAGGCTGCGGCGGTGGGGACCGGGATCGGCGCATCGATGAGCCCGGGGGGGCAGGTCGCTTTCGTCGTCAATCTGGGGGGCGCGATCTTCGGCGCGCTGATCGTGTACATCTTCCCCTCCGTGCTGTTCCTGCGCACGACGCCGCGCGCCTCGGGCGCGCCCCGCGCCCCCTCTTCGGGCGCCCGGCGCTCCTCCGCGGGAGGCCTGGTGCGCAGGCGTGCAGTGGGGAGGCCTGGCCGCGTCGCGGGGGCTCCTGGCGGTCAAGGTCAGGTCGTGCACGTCCCTCTGCAGGAGGAGTGCTCAGACATAGAAAGGGTCAGGGGGCGCCTGCTTGACTGTGTTGGCGTACCTGTTTTCGCATCTTTCGACTCCTCGTTCTCCCCCCTTCCAAAATCCGCCTGCAGGAGGACATGCCCGACCTGGTGTCAGGGGCTGGTCGCACAAGCGGCGCTGCACAGGCGGTGCACAGGCGGTGCACAGGCGGTGCACGGCCCCCCCCCCACCCCTGAACGAAGGATTGCAAAAAAACCCAGGATTGCAAAAAAAACCCTTCGAACGAAGGATTGCAAAAAAACCCTTCGTTCACGAAGGGCTTTTGTTGCAATCCTTCGTTCACGAAGGGTTTTTTTTGCAATCCTTCGTTGCAATCCTTTGTTTTTTTTGCAATCCTTCTTCCAGAGAGGAGCTTGCAGCGCAGCTCGGGCCCACGACGGGGGGGGCTCTGGCGCTCGGGGTCCCCGCGTTCGGAGCTGACGGCGAGCCTCGGCGGCCTGTGCCGCCCACTCGGCGTTGAGGACCCCTCGGTCGTGGAAAGCCGGCATTCTCGGGTTCCCAGGTTCCAATCCACTTTCAGCGCCTTCCTACTTCTATGATCAAGTGGCCTCACCTTTTCCATCCTCCTCAGGGGGCGGGCGGACACGGGGGCGGGCGGACACCCCATCTACGTTCAACGCCTTCATATTCATGTTTCTACCTACTTCTTCCGACCGATGAGTCATCCAAAGGGGATTTCCAACGTGGCGGAACAACACTCTAGGCCTCCCAGATGTGGTCCGAGCAGATGAGGTCGGGGGATCGCGCCGCATCGCCGATGCATCGACGATGCGGCTCGATGTGGAGCCCGTGTTTCCCCGCGCCGACGTCGCGGATGCGTCGCCGATGCATCGACGATGCATTGACGATGCGGCGCGATCCTTCGACCCCATCTACTCGGACGCCATCTAGGAGGCCTCTAATAAACACGTGAGTGTCGCAACACAGAGAGAGCGTCGGAGCAGAGACAACAACAGCACCAGTACAAGCTCAGCCCTCATCATTGCACGCCTCAACTGAGCCTGGGGGAGACATTGGAGGAGGGGTGGTGATGGAGGGTATCAGAAGAAAGGAGGAGGCTTGAAGAGTGGTTGGAGGCGAGAACGAGGGCAGAAGTCGGGAAGGTGAGAAGGGGTGAGGACGGGGACGAGGGGGACGCTGCAGAGGACGAGGAGGCGGAGCGGGAGAGAGGGGGAGGATGCGGGGGGAGGAGCAGGGCCAGGACGAGGAGTATGCCGAGGGATAGGCGCGTGTCAGTAGTGGCACAGTTCGACAAGCAGGGTGCACGTCGTCCCTCGCAGCTATCTGTGCTGCGCCCAACCCAGACCTCCAACTCAATGCGGAAGTGTTCCCTGTTCTGGGCCTCAGGGGTCCATCGCTGGGCTCATGGACCGTAACAAAACGGCACAGCAGGAACAACCAACCCTGGGGAAAAGGTCGGGACTTCGGAGGCACCCCGCATTGAAAAGTTCGAGACGTCGCATGTCTGGGAATGCAGGCTGTTGCTTGATCTCGTGCGACGTCGTCGCCCTTCTCGCCGAGGGCATGGGACCCTGACAATTATTAAAGAAGAAACAAACACTACGAGCAAAATCTGTTGGCGCTCCGCGCGGATTTCTTGCATCCGCGCTGGATGCCCCGGCGGCGCCTCCGGCGACATCCCTGGCACGCTCCGCGCGTCGGGGAGAGGGGTCCAGCGCAGATCTCAGCAATCCGCGCAGGGCACCAACGGTTTATGTTGATGCTGTTGCGTCTTCCCCTAGATTCCCAAGTAGCGCTTGCACCAGATGGGCGATTGACTGCCCAGACCTCGGACGACCCGAGACTTGTCCAGAGCCGCCTGGCTCCTGGAGCGCCCGAGCGTCTGCCCGCTCCTGCCTCCAGAGGAGCTCCGCAGAGCCCCCGGAGGGCCCCAAGACAGCTTAGCAGGGGCCCCAGGAATTCAACATGTCAGAATCCACACGAAGGACCTTACCGAAAAGTCGCACACAGGGGCTTTAATTAGACTCCACACTATAGATGTCAATGTGTGAAAGAGCGCGTTCTGTGGTCGCTTGGAGGGGGGGGGGTTGGAACCGGACCCCCCCCCTGGATGGAGGGGGGGGGTTCGAACTCCTCCCCCCCCTTCCCGTGACGGAAGGGGGGGAGGGGCTTTCGAACCCTCCCCCCTCCCCCCCCATACGTCACCTCTCTCCCTCTCCTCGGCTGGCGGCGGCGGCGGGGACGACGATTTCCTTTTGTGGGCCGGCGCCGGCGCCTGCGGCGGCGGGCGGCGGCGGCGGGGAGCGTCGAAGAGGACGGTGGTGGTGGTTGTGGTGGGTTGTGGTGGTGGTGTGGTGGCGGTGGTGGTGATTGTGGTGGTTGTGGTGGTGGTGGTGTGGTGGTTTGTTGCGGTGGGTGGTTGTGTTGGTGGTGGTGGTGGTGGTGGTGGCAGTGGTGGTGGTGATGGTGGTGTGGTGGTTTGTTGTTGTTGTGGTGGTGGTGGTGGTGGCGGGTTGTGGTGGTGTGGTGGTTTGGTGGTGGTGTGGTGGTGATTTGTGGTTGTGGTGGTGGTGGGTTGTGGTGGTGGCGGTGGTTTGTGGAGGTGGTGGTGGTGGTGGTGGCGGCGGTGGTGGTGGTGGTGGTTGTGGTGTGGTGGTTGTGCTGGTGGTGATGGTTGAGGCGGTGGTGGTGGTTGTGGCGGTGGTGGCGGTGGTGGCGGTGGTGGCGGTGGCGTGGTAGATTGTGGTGGTGGTGGTAGTGGTGGTGGGTTACGTGGTGGTGGTGGCGATGGTGAATTGTGGTGGTGGTGGTGGTGGTGGCTGTGGTGGTGGTGGTTGTGTGGTGGGTTGGTGGTGGTGGTGGGTTGAAGCGGTGGTGGTAGTGGTGGTGGTGGTGCTGGTGATGGTTATCGTTGCTGCGTCCCCGCTGTCGCCGGCGCCAGCGCCTGCGCTGCTGGCCGCCGTCACCGCCGGCGCCGGCGCCAGGGGTTGGGGGGAGGGATTTGAACCCCCTTCCCCCTCGGCGCCAGGGGGAGGGGCGGGGGGTTGGACCTCCCCCCCGTCCCTCTGGGCTGCCTCTGGTCATCGTCGCTGCGTCCGCGCCGTCGGCGCTGTTGGCGGCCGCCGGCGCCGGCGCCGGGGGGGGGGGGCGTGAACCCCCCCCTGGGAGGGGGGGGTGGGGGGCGTTCGGGAAGGGAAGGGTTTGGGGGGGAGGGGAGTCCCCCTGGTTTTGATCGACGGCGCCGAGTGTTGGGGGGGGGCCCCCCCCCGCTTCGAAACGCGCCGCCGAATGTTCCCAAGGCAAACGTCCGTGAAACGCTTTCTTTCCAATTTGCGAATCCTTTGCAAAATCAATCCGATCGTAAAGTCGCATTACCCCAGTGCGACCCGACCTAGAAGTTGGAGCCCCTAGGAAAACAACGTTAGTTGCCATGCTATGCTATACCATGCTATGCTACGCAATGCTATGCTATGATGTGCTGCGCTATGCTATGATATGCAAAGCTATGCCATGCTATGCTGTGCTGTGCTGTGCTGTGCTATGCTATGCTGCGCTATGCTATGCTGCGCTATGCTATGGTATGCTGGGCGATGCTATGATATGGTATGCTGCGCTATGCTATGCTATGTTGTGTTTTGCTGTGCTCTGCCATGTTCAACCTCAGCGAAGCTATGCTGAAGGTAATATAAACTAAGATAAACCTGAACTAAGGTGAAACTAAGCTAAGCTAAGCTAGCATGAAATAAGCTAAGCTAAGATGAGATAAGCAACGTTAAACTAAGGGGACGTAGCTGGGGGAACCGCGGGGCGGATACTGGGGGAACCGCCCGGGGCGCTCTCCATTGCCCGGCCCCTTTAAGCCCAGAGGGTAAAAACCATTCTAGGCAGAGCCTAGGTAGGGAACAAAGGGATTTTACATGTAATCCACTCTTTTTTGTCCCCTGGCGATAACGGGCGTGACCCGGGAAGGGCGGGGGTAAAGGGGGGGAGAAGGTTGGCCACATCATGCTCGTCTGAGAATGCTCGGGAATAGCTTGTTTCTGAACGGCGCTAGTGCGAATCGTGATGTGACTAGCCTGGGGGGGGAGCGGCGGAGGGGGCGGGAGGGGTTTGTCACGGGCCGGTCACGGGCTGGTCATCGGACCCGTCCCCCGCAGGATCCGTTTCCTCTGTGCTGGCTCGCGTCGCCCGCCGCCGTGCGCTTGTGCTCGCGGCCGGAGGCGCCGAGCGGCGGGCCGCGCGTGCCACGGTGTGCGCCGGCGTGCTCCTGGCAGTGGCAGGCGCCTGCTTGCTTCTCTTCCGCTTTCTCTCGAAGAAAGGCGAACGATAGAAGCCTGGGCCTCGGGGCCTCGCATGTGAGGAGATGTCATGGCGGGGGCCTTAACTTCCCAGATCTCATGGCCCCCTCTTCTTTTCTCGACGCGTTCGCTGGCCCCCCCGTCGTCCGCGTACATGCATCGGGCCATAATTTGCTAGCCCCCCCTTCTGGACGCCTCCCTCTTGGACTCGAAGCCTCCCAGGTGCGGTCCGATGGGGTCGAGGGATCGCACCGCATCGCCGATGCAGTGGCCATGCGGCTCGATGTGGGGCCCGATGCTCTCCACGCAGATGGCGCCGATGCATCGCCGACGTTGCCGATGCTCGACCGACATTGCCGATGCATCACTGACACATCGTCGATGCATCCACGATGGGGCGCGATCCTCCGATCTGGCCCCATCTGGAAGGCCTCTGTTACTTGCTTCCCCTCCGCCTCCCCGTGAAGAAGAACGAACGACACAATGGCACCCTTGCGACAGAAGACCCTGCAGTGGAGACCCATGCCAAGAAACACCCTGCTTGCCTCCAGGGTGCCCTGGGCTTCTTGGCTTTCCATGGTTTTGCCACGGAAAGCGCCACGTTCCCGCCGGGGTCTCGGGGTTGGGTTTCTTGTGGAAGGTTTCTTGTGGTCGATCCCCCACTGTCAGGCGATCACAAACATGGATCAAGGGGGCGTAGATTAGCGACAGGTCCCGTTTGCATAGTAGGAACTCGCGGATTTCCGCCGCCGAACGAGGTGACACCAGCCGAAGTTTGGGGAGGGCATTTTCCCGATCCATGGATTTGGCGACTGCGTGCCACATCCATGGATCGCTAATCCATGCTTGCGCGCCCCCGATATTGTAAGCGTCTTCACAAGGGCTACGATGGCGGGGTACGATGGGGAGGAGGAGGATAAGGAGGAGGACGAGGAGGAGGAGGAAGACGAGGAGGAGGAGGAGGAGGAGGAGGAGGAGGAGGAGGAGGG